CTGCCAGTGCCAGTTTGGTCACCCCTATTTGCCTTCCCCTGCATACCTGGTTGCCCCCAACTGCCCTCCCTCCCCTACAGGCCCAGTCACCCCCAACTTCCCTCCCCTGCTGGCCTGGTTATCCACAACTGCCCTCCCCTGCTGACCTAAACGTCCACTACTGCCCTCTCCTGTTGGCCTTCTTGTGGTGGCTAATTTGTGACCACATGGGGTGGCCATCTTGTGTAAGGGTGTGATGCTCAATTTGCATATTACCTCTTTATTATGTAGGATGATTGGATTACCAAAGAGATAAAAGAAGAAGTTAAAAACATCCTGGAAACAAATGACAATGAAAACACAACAATCCAAAATCTATGGGATACAGTGAAAGCAGTCTTGAGAGGAAAGTTCATAGCTTTACAGGTTACCTTAAAAAAAAAAACAAGAAAAGCTGGTAATAAATTATCTAACCCTACAAATTACTGAATGAGAAAGAGAGCAATAAGAAAAGCCCAGAGTAAGTAGAAGGAAGGAAATAATATCAGAGCAGAAATAAATGACATAGAGAGCAAAGGATCAATAAAACTAAGAGCTGGTTCTTTGAAAGGCTAAACAAGGTTGATGAACCTCTAGCCAAGTTCACCAAGAAGCAGAGAGGATCCAAATAAAATCAGAAATGAAAAAGGTGAAGTAAACAACCCCCCGGACATACAAAGGATTGTAAAAAATTTACTGTGAACAATTCTACTTCAACAAACTGGACAACTTTGATGAAATTGACATATTCCTAGAAAAATACAAGCTTTCAAAAACTCAATCAGGAAAAATAAAAAATCTGAATAGGCTGATAACTACCGATGAAATTGCAGCAGTAATGAAAAACCTTCCAGCAAACAAATCTCTGGTCTGGATGGCTTCACCAGGGAGTTTTAGCAAACATTCAAAGAAAAACTAAAACCCTCCTTAGACTATTTCAAAAAATTCAAGAGGAAGGAACAATTCCAAGCTCTTTGAGGCCAGCATTACTCTAATCCCCAAACCAGAAAAATACACTACAAAGAAAGAGAATTATAGGCTAATATCCCTGATGAACATAGATGCTAAAATCCTCAACAAAATTCTAGCAAATTGAACACAGCATTACATAGAAATATCTTACACCATGACCAAGTGGGATTTATTCTGGGGATTTAAAGATGGTACAATAAATAAATGTCAATAAATGTGATACATCACATAAACAAATTCAGAGACAAAAGTCACATAATCATATAAATTGATGCAGAAAAAGCATTTTACAAAATCCAACACCCTTTCTTGATAAAAACTCTCAGCAAAGTGGAAGTAGAGGGATCATACCTCAACATTATAAAAACTTTACTGATAAACCTACAGCCAACATCATGCTCAATGGTCAAAAAACAAAAAACAAAAACAAAAACAAACACATTTCCCCTGAGAACAGGAACAAGACAGGGATGCCCACTTTCACCACTCTTGTTCAACATAATATTGGAAGTGTTAGCCATAGTGTAAGACAAGAAGAAGAAATAAAAGGCATCCAAATGGGAAAAGAAGTAAAACTGCAATTATTCCCAAATGACATGATATTGTACATAGAAAGCCCTAAAGACTCCATCAAAAAACTACTAGACTTAAAAATGAAGTTGGAAATGTAGCAGGACACAAAATGAATACCCAGAAATCTATGGCCTTTTTATACACCAATAATGAACTCACAGAAAGAGAAACTAATAAAATCATCCCATTTACCACTGCAACAACAACAACAACAAAAACTAAGATACACAGGAATAAATTTAACTAAGGATGTAAAAAACCTGTACTCGGAAAACTATAGGATGTTGAAAAAAGAGAGAGAGAAAGACAAACAAGTGGAAGAATATATTGTGTTAATGGATTGGTAAACTCAACATTATTAAAATGTCCATGCTACCCAAAGTACTCTATAGATTCAATGCAATCCCCATTAAAATTCCAATGGCGTATTTCACAGACCTAGAGAAAACATTCCAAAAATTCATACGTAATAAAAAATGACCCGAATAGCTGCAACAATCCTGAGAAAGAAAAATGAAGTTGGAAGGATCGCAGTACCAGATATCAAGCTAAATTAAAAAACCACTGTTCTAAAAACTGCCTTGTCCCGACACAGGAACAGATATATAGACCAATGGAACAAAACAGAGAATCCATAAATTCATCCAAGCCATTATGCTCAATATTTGACAAAGAAGGCAAGAGCAGCCCTAACCAGTTTAGCTCAGGGGCTAGCACATCAGCCTGCGGACTAAAGGGTCACAGGTTAGATTCTGGGCACATGCCTGGGTTGTGGCTCAATCCCCAGTAGGGGATGTGCAGGAGGCAGCCAGTAAATGATTCTCTCTTATCATTGATGTTTCTCTCTCCCCTTCTGCTCTGAGATCAATAAATATATATTTTTAAAAAGGCAAGAGCATACAATGGAGTCAAGACAGTCTCTTCAATAAATGGTGTTGGGAAAATTAGACAGATACATGCAAAAAAAATTAAACTAGACTACCAACTTATACCATACACAAATATAAACTCAAAATGGATAAACGACTTAAACATAAGATAGCAAATCATAAAGATCTTAGAAGAATCCATGGCAGCAAAATATCTGACATACTAGTATATTCTATCAATATCTTTACTGATACAGCTCCTAGGACAATGGAAACTAAGGAGAAAATAAACAAATGGGACTACAATAAAATTAAAAGCTTCCGCACAGCAAAAGAAACCATTAACAAAACAAGAGAGCCCACTTCATGGGAGAGCATATTTGCCAATGTTATATCCAATAAGGATTTAATCTCCAAAATATATAGGGAATTCATACACTTAACAAAAGGAAGATAAACAATCTGATCAAAAAATGGCCAAAGGATCTAAATAGACATTTTTTGAAAGTGGACATACAGAAGGCGAAGAGACATGAAAACAGGCTCAGAGTCACTAATTATCTGAGAGATGCAAATCAAAATGACAATTAGGTATCATCTCTCACCTGTCAGAATGGCTATCATCAACAAATCAACAAAAGACAAGTGCTGGAGAGGATGTGGAGAAAAAGGAACACTCATTCACTCTTGGTAGGAATACAGACTGTGGCAAACAGTATGGTGTTGCCTCAAAAAATTAAAAATGGAACTCTTATTTGACCCAGTGATCCCACTTCTAGGAATATATCCCAAGGAATCAGAAGCACCAGTCATGAAGGATATATGCATTCCTATGTTCATAGCAGCACAATTTACAATAGCTAAGATTTGGAAACAGTCTGAGTGCCCATTAGCAGATTAGTGGATTTAAAAATGGTGATACAATTACACAATGGAATACTATGCTGCTGTAAAAAAAGAAAGAACTCTTACCATTCGAAACAGCATGGATGGACCTGGAGAGTATTATGCTACATGAAATAAACCACTTGGAGAAAGATAAATATCACATGATCTCACTGATTTCTGGAATATAATGAACAACATAAACTGATGAACAAAAATAAATCCAGACCATCAAATCTCAGAGGGAAGGTAGAGGAGGGTGGGGGTAAGGGGGAGTGATCAATCAAAGGACTTGTATGCATTCATATAACCTTAACAAAGGACAGAGACAGTAGGGGATGAGGGCATGTGTTGGGGGCTGGGAGTGCCTTGGGATAGGTCAATGGGGGGAAAAGGAGACATATGTAATACTTTAAACCAGCGTTTTTCAACCACTGTTCCGCAGCACACTAGTGTGCCGCGAGATGTTGCCTGGTGTGCCGTAGGTGCAGACAAGACAAGAATTTTATAATTTTTCACTATTTTGTTTACTTAATATTTCATAATAAAGTAATTATAAAATACTTTCTTTGTATTTATTTGATTCCTATTCAAGAGAATTACTTTATATATAGTCAATATAGGCACAGAGTTAAATTTTTTAACATTTTCTAATGGTGGTGTGCCTCGTGATTTTTTTCATGAAACAAGTGTGCCTTTGCCCAAAAAAGGTTGAAAAACACTGCTTTAAACAATAAAGAATTTAAATAAAAAAGTAACAAAAATAAATTTTATTTAACTAATTAGGATATGAAGATTTCTTGTTAGTATTTGTTTTAATGAAAATCTTAGTTACTTTTTCTCCCCTTTATCTTTTTCACTCTCTTACCTTTCTTTCTAAATCAAATCAGACTTGTTAAAAACTCATCATTATTCATTTTTTGTATATAATAATTAGTTGTCTTTATTTCATCTATACAAGCTTGTTAACTTCGTCCCATGGTATATGTTACAACAGGACTATCCTTTACATTTAAAAGTTATTTGATTCTTCATGCTTTGTTGTCATTGTTTCACATGATTAGCAGGACTTACACTTTTAATTTTAATTGTTTAGATTTGTGTTGTATTATTTACAACTCTTATGAGAACCTGGGAGAACTAGCAGAAAATTGAGCCACTAGCAAATGTTAAGAATCATTTTGATTATTTGTAATTTTTTAAATCAGTGCTGGCATTTTGGTATACATTCTTACAGTCTTTTCTATGTATATGTTTGTATATAATTATTTTTAGGTAATGCTTGTTATTATACTCAGAACATTTTCTAATATTACAAAATGTTTTTCAAGGACATAATTTTAAAGCTACATAATAGACAGTGTGGATATACCAACATTTATCTAATCATTTTCTTAATGTCAAACATTTAAATTAGTTATGTATTTTTTGCCATTATAACTAATTGATAAATCTGTAACATAAACCTTTATGGGCTTCCCTGACTTTTCTGTAGGATTCCTAGAAAGAGAACCACTTGGTCAAAGGTTAAGAATATTTGTCAAGTTACTACTACCGGTTTTTAAAATGCCCTTTAGAAATGTTGCACCAATTTATATCCGATGTTCTTTGCTGTAATAGGTTGCAAGCTTTTTTTCTGCCAAAGTTCCTGGTGTTTGTCTCCTTAATGATTTTTTTTTTCAGAATAAGCAGGTGAAAATAACTTTTGGGTTCTCTTGCAAGAATAATAACCAGTTTGGAATAATGATGTATCACAACAACCGACTCATAAAGCCCTTTGAAAAGGTGGGATGCCAAGTGAAGGTGAGTGATTTTTTTTTTCATAGAAGACTGAAAAAAGTGGGAAGAGGATTTAAAATTTAATTAACATAACTAATTTAAATGTTTGACATTATATTATTAATGACTTTTACTCCCATCTTATAATGGTTTTTAAATATTATCCTGGAATTCAATGTTACCAGTGAGCCATCTTGTGTTAAAAAAATCTATTTCTCATTCCTCTTAGATACTAATCAACACGGAAACTTTGCTGAATGCATTTTCTAGGTGAATGTTAATAAGAAATAGAATGAGAACAACAGAACTCTGCCATGTGTATAAGTCTATTAGTGTTGAAGGTAGTTTTTTTATATTCTTGGGGAGACAATACAGCATAGTGGAAAATGAATAAAATTTAGTGGTTGATGGCCAGGATTTGAGACCTGGCTTTTCTACTTACAAGCTATGCAACCTAATTGCTTAATTTATCTGAGGCTCAATTTCTTACCTGTAGAATGGGAACCACAATAATAATTTTACCTGCTCTACCTACCTAATGCTTAAAAGGTTGAAAGATTTAAATGGGATAAATTATGTGAAAATATTTTATAAACTGAACTATACAAATTTTACCATCATCTTTAATATTTTAATTGCAATTTAAAGTAGAAATAGCCACAATTCCATTCATTTCTATTTTATAGATAAGACTGCTAAAGTACAAAGAATGACAAACTGCTTTATATTTAACAGTAGGACAAACTTATATTAGACCCAGAATAGTTTTCAGTCTATGTTGATTTTCTTTGCTATATCATTTTTATACAACTCATGTTTGTGTGCTTGTCTAACTACATCTTGACTCAATTCCTTCCATTAAAGAGTAAAAAATATTTTTAATCCAAAAAATATCTTGTATCAACTTGTAATTAATAACACTGCAAATCTGACTCATGTTAGTAGTTGATTAGTGGCCTACTTGTTTATTTTAATAGAGCATGATAATTACATAGCATCCTTAAATTTTTTTCAGAGGAAGTTTGGATTGTGTTCCCTAGAACAGTAGTATTAATCAGTATATAAGTTTGATTTTTTTTAAGCAGTGTCATTTTTTGTTCAAATGAAATCATATGGCAGTATAAAACAGAAGAAAACGAAGGTAGTGTGGGAGAAATAGAGATGGCTATAAACCTTAGAATAGCCTAGATCTATGGATCATAGTTAGAAAATCTTGTCCTAGAACTTGCCAGAGGTTGCAGTTAAATGTAATATTTGCAGTCTATTGAAATATATTCTGAGTGTTTCTATAGATCTTGTTGGCCTTACCTTGCCCATAAAGGTTATGTAACCTTTCTATTATTGTTTGGAATCAAAAGAAAATGCTTCCAGGCAGTCAACAGTAATGTGAGTGTTGAAATTAATATTTTTTTCCCTAAGCCAACTCATGGAGAAGGTGTGGGAGTAATTGGAGTCATTGAGTGCAATTTCTTAAAACCTGCCTACAACAAACAAGACTTTGAGTACACCAAGGAGTACCGGTGAGTCACTCACAACCTAAAGAGTTTCTGGTAGTTTCTTCAGATATGATTCTGTTCTATGAAACCTCTAAAAGCACCTCTAAAAATCAGGCTGGTAAATTAACTGATAATTCCTTCAAATCTATTTTCTTAGATGAAAAAGAAAATGATTTGACTTTTCAAAGAGGAATGGAGGGGGAGAGAGAGAGAGAAATATCAATGATGAGAGAGACACATCAATTGGTTGCCTTCTGGATGCGCCCTGACCAGGGCCGGGATCAAGCCTGCAACTGAGATACATGCCCAGGATTTGAATCGAACCCAGCACCTTTCAATCTGCAGGCTGATGCTCTATCCACAGAACCAAAGCAGCCATGGCAAAATGATTTACTTTTAAATGAAAGATTATATTATACATGATATATGGAGCTTTATATATAAGATTATATATACATGATATATGGAGCTCAGTTGAGATAAACCTTACCTCAACATTATGTAAAGAGCATGGAAGTCATTTAGTAAAATACTTCTAGTGAAACAAAGAGCCTTGGAATTATCTCTTTTTAATATATAATCTGTATTAATATCACATCTTCTTTGATTCTAGCATACATGCCAGCAGCAGTTTTTCCCCCCATTTTTATTGAATTTATTGAGGTGACATTGGTTACTAAAATTATAAAGGTTTCAGATGTACAATTCTATATTAGATCATCTACGTATTACATTATGTGTTCACCACTCAAAGTCATGTCTCCTTCCAACACCATTTATCCCCTCCATGCCCTCTTCTACCTTCCCTACCTCCCTTTCCCTCTAGTAATCACCATACTGTTGTCTGTGTTATGACGGGGTTTTTTTTTTATTGTTGTTGTTGTTTGTTTGTTTTGTTTGCTTAATTCCAGCCCCCAAACCACCTTTCCTTCTTACTGCTGTCAATCTGCATTTTGTATCTATGAATCTGTTTCTATTTTGTTTGTTAGTTTATTTTGTTCAAGTGCAAGTGGTGTTCTGGGTGTATAGAGAGATAAGGTATGAAGACATTTTTCTTTTAAATCTTTATTGTTCATACTATTACAGATGTTCCTCTTTTTCCCTCCATAGCTCCCCCACCCAGTTCCCACCCCACCCCATGCCCTCGCCACTGTCATTGTTCATAGGTATAAGTTTTTGTCCAATATCTTTCTGTATCCCCACACCCTCTTCTCCCTTCTCTCCCCCCCCCCGAGAATTGTCAGTCCACTCCCTTTCCATGACCCTGATTCTATTACATTCACCATTACATTTGTTTTGTACATCAGATTTTTTTTTATTCATTTGACTTTTAGATTCACTTGTTGATAGATATGCATTTGTTATCACTTTGTTGGTCAAAATTGTTATCTTTACCTTTTTCTTCTTCTTCCTCTTCTTAAAGAATACCTTTCAGCATTTCATATGATACTGGTTTGGCAGTGATGAACTCCTTTAACTTTTTTTTTGTCTGTGAAGCTCTTTATCTGACCTTCAATTCTAAATGATAGCTTTGCTGGATAGAGTAATCTTGGTTATAGGTTCTTGCTATTCATCACTTTGAATATTTCTTGTCACTCCCTTCTGGCTTGCATAGTTTCTGTTGAGAAATCAGCTGTCAGTTGTATAGGTACTCCCTTGTAGGTAACTAAAGGAATTTTTATCTTGCTGCTTTCAAGATTCTCTCTTTGTCTTTTGCCCTTGGCATTTTAATCATGATGTATCTTGGTGTGGTGCTCTTTGGATTCCTCTTGTTTGGGGTTCTCTGCCCTTCCTGGACTTGTAAGTCTATTTCTTTCACCATGTAGGGAAGTTTTCTGTCATTATTTCTTCAAGTAGGTTTTCAATATCTTGCTGTCTTCTTCTGGCACCCCCATCATTCGGATATTGGTACACTTGTAGTTTTCCCAGAGGCTCCTTACACTATCTTCATTTTTTTTTATTCTTTTTTCTTTTTGCTCTTCCAGTTGCATGTCTTTTGCTTCCTCGTACTTGACATCTTTGACTTGATTCTTGGGATCCTCTAGTCTACTGTTTAATCTCTGAATATTATTCTTTATTTCAGTCACTGTGTGCTTAAATTCTGAATGGTCCTTTTCCATTTTTTTTTGGCATTCCCATTAAGATCCTTGAAGGTCTCACTAAGTTCCTCAGAGGTTTCTATTATATAATAGAAGATTCTTGAGTGACCTAATAACTGTGGTTTTAAACTCTCTATCTAGTATTTTGCTTTCATCCATTACTTGTGACATGTTTCTTTGTCTCCACATTTTGGCTGCTTCCCTATATTTATTTCTATATATTGGGTAACTGCTAAGTGTCCTTGAGTTGATAGAGTAGCCTTGTGTGGTATATGTCCTATAGGGCCCAGTGGCTTAGCCTCCTCAGTCACCTGAGGTGGACACTCTTGGTGCACCCCTTTGTGGGCTGTGTGCACAGTATTGTTGTAATTAAGCCTTGATTGCAGTTGGTATCACTGAGAGGAATTGACCTCCAGACGAATTGGTTGTGAGGACCAGCTGTGTCTACAATGGAAGAGCTTCTGTGTAGGAGACACCCTTATGGGACAGGACTTGCTTCAGTGGGGCTTTGGTGCTCACTGAGTCTGCCCCTTGAATGTGTCTCTTATGGATGTGAAAAGTTGTAATCTGGTATGGTCTCACACTGACCACTGGGTACACTGGCTCTTGGATCTCCAAGGAGGTGCAAAGTCAGCCACTGCCTAAGGCCATCCAGCAGGAGCTACAGAGAGATCTGCAGATTCCTCCTCTTTTTATTGGGTTTGGAAGTGCCCAGACTAGGCCCAGCTGTGTAGCAAGGCAGGCTGTTGCTGTTGCTGCTGCCTGTTTGACAAGTTTTGAGGCAGGATCTCAGGGAATCTCCTGGGCAGAGCAAACAGCAATGTCTGCCAGTTAACCCTGCACCAGAGAGGTCCCCGCACAGAAAAAATGACTACTGCAAGCACCTCTGTCTAAAAGAAAGCTGCCCTCTTATCCCTGTCCCAATCCCAGACAGTCCAGTTTCTCCCCATATGTGTCTGGGTCCTTTAGAGTCTTGTCCAGAACTGGAGTTCAGAGCAAGTGGGATCTTATATCTCCTTCCCAATTAAAAAAGCAGCGCACCCTGGTGCCAGCCCGTTCCATGCCTCCACACCTCCTACCAGTCTCAATATGCTTTCTTATTTACCTCTAGTTGTAGAACTTCCACTCAGCCAGCTTTCCCATGGTTCTGGATGATAGTTGTTCTGTCTTTTAGTTGTAATTTAAAAAATATATATATTTTATTTCTTACAGAGAGGGAGGGAGAGGTATAGAGAGTTAGAAACATCGATGAGAGAGAACATTGATCAGCTGCCTCCTGCACAGCCCCTACTGGGGATGTGCACGCAACCAAGGTACAAGCTCTTGACTGGAATCAAACCTGGGACCCGTCAGTCCAAAGGCCGAGGCTTTATCCACTGAGCCAAACCAGTTAGGGCTTAGTTGTAATTTTGATGTGGTTGTGAGAGGCAGCAAATACAGGTGTGTTGCCATCTTGGTTCCTCCCCATTTTCTTTCTTCCTTCCTTTCTTCCTTTCTTCCTTCCTTTCTTCCTTCCTTCCTTCTTTCCTTCCTTCCTTCCTTCCTTCCTTCCTTCCTTCCTTCCTTCCTTCCTTCCTTCCTTTCTTTCTTTCTTTCTTTCTTTCTTTCTTTTTTTGACATCTCAGTAGAAATTTCTTTTTAGAATGCAAGAAAAGTAATTTCCCAAATTTCGTTATTTTTGTGTGTGTGTGTGTGCCAAAACTGTAAAAAAAAATTAGATAAATTTTGTACCTTAATTTATCTGTAATTGTAAGAAATTTAGGATTCATGTCTGACAGAGATAATTTTTTTGGATGGCAACCCCATATTAATTTTAGGGTAATTGGTTCTTTTTTTTTTTTTTAAATAAGTTTTTATTGTTCATATTATTACAAATGTTCCTTTTTTTTCCCTACCACCATTGCTCTCCTCCACCAGGTTCCCACCCCACCCTCTGCCCTTTCCCCACTCCCCATTGTCCTCATCCATAGGTGCACAGTTTATGTTCAGTCTCTTCCCACATCCCCCTCTCCCCTTTTTCCCAAGAATAGTCAGTTCACTCCCCTTCCATACCTCTGATTCTATTATATTCAACGGTTAATATTGTTCATCAGATTTTTTTAATTTCCTTGGTTTTTAGATTCACTTGTTGATAGTTACATATTTGTTGTTCATAATTTTTATCTTTATTCACTTTCTCTTCTGAAAGAACCCCCTTCAGCAATTCATATAATTCTGGTTTGGTGTTGATGAACTCCTTTAGCTTTTTTTTTTATTAGTGAAGCTCTTTATCTGACCTTTGATTCTGAGTGATAGCTTTGCTGGATAGATTATCTTTGGCTGTAGGTTCTTACTATTCATCACCTTGAATATTTCTTGCCATTCCCGTCTGGCCTGCATGGTTTCTGTTGAGAAATCAGCTGACAATCGTATAGGTGCTCCTTTATAGGTAACTACCTTCTTTGCTCTTGCTGCTTTTAATATTCTCTCTTTGTCTTTTGCTCTAGGAATTTTAATTATGATGTGTCTTGGTGTGGTCCTCTTTGGATTCCTTTTGTTTGGAGTTCTGTGTGCTTCCTGGACTTGTAAGTCTAATTCTTTCACCAGGTGGGGGAAGTTTTCTGTCACTAATTCTATCACTATGTTTTCAATATCTTGCTCTCTCTCATCTTCTAGGACCCCCATAATTCTGATGTTGGTTCGCTTGAAGTTGTCCCAGAGATTTCTTACATTATCTTCAATTTTCTGGATTCTCTTGCCTTCTATCTTCTGTGGGGGAGAAGAACTTCTGGTTCTTTATGTTCCAAATCTTTGACTTGATTCTTGCGATCTTCCATTCTGTTTTTAGGACTCTGTATAATATTTTTTATTTCAGACAATGTATTCTTTATTTCTTGTTGATCCCTTATCATTTCTTGTTGACTCCTATTAATTCTAGTTGATCTC